AGGATTCAACAGGAACTTGCCAGTTAAAATTTATATGTTTTTTTAACATCAATAATACAATATGTTACTAAATTTATCCATGCAATGTGCCTTAATTGTTAGTTTTATTTTCATCATGTGCTTTGATAAGCTTTCCTTCTCTATTCAGGATTTGCATAGTTTAAAGGTAAGAAAATTATAAAATAAAATTAGATGAAGAATATAAAATTTAAGACTCTAATTAAATCTTAATATGTTTTGCATCCGAATCATATTATGAATACACCAGTTCTTTAAAAATTGTTCTTCCACTCAATGTATAAACCTTCCAAAAACTCTAAGCGGTAATTTTTCATATTTTGAGATTGGCAACTGCGGTTTAAATGCAGTAACTGGAAAGATGATGCTTATTGATGTATGCTGCAGTTTGTTAGATAAAGTTTGTTTTCTTCTCAGAAAACAATTAAATATTTAATAAATACATTTCATGATGAGCAGGTTTTAGTTATGATGAATTTTCATCTTTCTATGGTTTTCTCTCTCTGTAAGTTTAATATGCTTTTAAACTTTATAATACTGAATATTGAAGAATAATTGTTAGTAATAAAAATGTTCTTAAGCTATGTTGGTTGAAATTATATTTCAATAATAGGTTAATGTCCTTTTAGCTAGACGTCAGTAATGCGAAATGAAGCGTGTGCTCATTTTGATGAATTATTTGTGAACTGAACTTATTTAGGTATGTACAGTCGATTCCAGTTAATCGGACCACATCGGGAAGCAATCGTTTTGGTCCTAATAATCGGCCGGTCCAATTACATGAACATGTCCTATGTTGTAAGACGGGACGTGCTATATGTAGCAAACAGTAAATGTACATGTAAATCATGTACTAAAATGTAATTATGAACTTTATGATGTGGTACACATGTATGGCAAACATACATGTACAAACAAGAACTACAGTCGAACTTTTTTTCATTGAGAAAATTAATTTAAAAAATAGAAACGCATAAAAGAAAAACCATCGTTTCATCAGTGAGACATTATAGTATGTTTCTGCTTTGTGTATGAGATCACATGTATCCAGAAACATCATGTTCCAGTTTTTCAGTAAGCATCAAATGCTGCTGCTGGCTTCCTGGCATACGTTAATTAGCCAAAGAGCACAAAGCAAGATCGAGGTTGTTATTTCATTCATCTAGCTGCTGAGCACTGTGTGTTTCACATGCTTTTAAGAAATATCTTAAATTGTGATTCTACAAAAAAAAGTAAAACATCCATGTACCCATTAATTTATAGTATTTTTTCGCAACTGGTATTTTTTTTTTTTACCATTTTGCAGCTGAGGATGATGGTTTGGTAAAACCATTAAAACTAGTCCTGTGAAAATTTGAAAATATAACGCTGATTTTTGTTGTTGACTTCTAAATTAATATTTTTTCAGCGTGTTATATTATCTTAATTTATATACCTTTCAAAAATCATACACAGATGACTTTCCTTCTATTATTTCGTCAAGGGAATGTAATACATTTTCATGTTCACCATTTGTCATTGTGACTTTTTGATACCTCATGCTAGAAGGGCTGATATTCTTAAACATATGTGTGCACAAGGACAGTGGGGGGGGAGAAAAAAAAAGAATTCTTCAATGGAAACAAAGAACCAAAGCGTTATTATTGCAGAATGCCTGTTCCCTGTCTTTTTACTGGAGCACAACCTGCCAATAAATACATCGGATCATGCCACAGCTTTATTTAGAAAAATGTTTCCCAATAGCAGAGTTGCCAACTCTCCCAATTTAGGCGGGAGACTCCCGATTGTCGACCGCTCTCCCGCCAACCCGATTTACAATATATTTCTCCCGACCTTTTCTTATTCTTAAAATTTCTCACGATTTTTATGCAACTTGACTTAATACTTTGTTATATGAATTTTAAAAAAAAAGTGCTTTTGGACGTCTGAAAGCAATTGAGTTTTCTCTACATTATATCTAAAACAAAACCTTGCGAATCAGATAACTTCTGCTTTTTGAGTAAGAGCATTATACGTATCCAGAAACGTCATTCTCCAATGGGCGTCGAGCTCCACTGCGTGTCAGTTGGCATATATTAGCCAATGAGGACAAAGCAAATTGTTCTTTAGTTATTTCGTTCATTTTGTCCTGAGTTTTGTGAGTACACATGCCTTAGGGAAATAGTTTTAGAAATTATCATCTTTTGTGACATCTGAGGGAAAAGTGAAACACTCGTGTACGTTTCAGAAATCGTACACAGTTGACTTACCTTCCATTATTTCCTTAAGGAAATATAATTAATTTGCGATGTGCACTGCCTGTCGTTGCAATTTTTTGATTTCGCATGGTGGAAGGGCGGATGTTCTCAAACATGTGAGTACACAAAAACACATGAGTTGTATTTAAAAAAATGAAAAATTTAATTTTTCTTCGGAAACAAAGGACCAAAAAGTTACTAATGCAGAATGTCTGTTCTCTGCCTTTTTTACTGGAATACAACCTGCCAGTGGACGCATCGGATCACACTGCAGCTTTATAGAAAAATGTTTCCCGATAGTGAAATCGCTACGAAATACTCAAGTGCAAGAATCAAAACAGGTGCAATTGTTAAAAAAATGGGTTTGAAAAATAAATCTTCAGTTATTGATTGCATTAAAACAGCTCCGTTCTGCCTCTCTACGGATGGAAGCAATAATACCGATTCAAAACTGTATCCAATTGTTGTTTCTTTTTTTAATCCAGAGTCTTCAGAAATTGAGTGCAGTTTACTTTCTGTTTTCACTTTAGAAGGACATTTGACAGGCTTTAATATAGCACAGCTAATTATTAAAACTTTAAAAGAAAAATGCGGTCCCTCTGGGATAATTGTTTAGCACTTGGTGCCGATAATGCACCCAGTATTGGTAGGCTTGGAAGACTGGTTGTTGCAGGCATCTTAAGAAAGGAAAATTCAGATTTGCAGATTATGAGGTGCACCTGTCACTTCTTAAATTAACAGCTGAAAAAGGGGCAGCTTCTTTACCAATAAATGTGGATGAACACATTGTTGATATTTATTATCTTGAAAGGAGTTCTAAAAGGAAGGAAAAATTGAAACAGTTCCAACAGCTGCATAACAGCAGTTTACAATTAGAAAACTTGGATGAAGTTATAAAATCAGCTAGGATTGACACCCAGTGGAGTTTAATTGGAAAACTGAAAGCTGCTGATGGAATTTTAAAATATAGTGAAACTGTCTAGAATTGTGTTGGCCATCTTGACAGTTCCCCATAGTAATGCAGAGTGTGAGAGGATTCTCAGTGTTGTTGCGAAAACGAGTATTAAATTTAGATCTAATATTAGTGATGACACATTAGGAAAACTTTTATTAGCGAAAGCAATTATTACGTGGCAATTGCTGTGAACAAAATTATGAAGTTTCTTTCGTAAAGAAAGCAAAATCTGCCACTGTTTATAACATTTGTGCGAAAACTGATTAAAGTGTCTTCCCCCCCCTCTTAAACGATGCAAGTAATAAAAATGTTTTTTATGTGCAAGTTATTTTTGTGTTGCTTGCATTTAAAAATTAGTTACTATTTAAAGTTAATTCATTATTAAAAACTATATTTTTATCATTTAAGAAGTCTTTTTAACATCATGAAAAATCTCCTGATTTCTTAAAAACATCTGATTTTCGAGTGTCATAGGTTGATAAGTATGCAATAGCCATGTTAGCCAATGTCTAAGAAATATTCAGATACAAGGATAAAACTGGCTGCAATTGTTAAGGAAATGGGTGTGAAAAATAAATCTTCATTTATCTGCATTAAAACAGCTTCATTCTGCTTCACTGTGAATAGAAGTAATAACACCGATACAAAACTGCATCCAGTTTTTTCTTTTTTAATTCAGAGTTTTCAGAAGTTGAGTATAGTTTCCTTTCTATCTGCATTTTAGAAGAAGACTTAACGGACTTTAATTATAGCACAGCTAATTATTAAAACTTTAAAAGAAAATGCAATTCCTCTGGATAATTGGTTAAGCACTTGGTGCTACCAATACACCTGTAATGGTAAGTTTGAACACTGGTGTACCGCATTTTTGAAAAAAAGTTCAGATTTCCAAATTATGAAGTTTCCATACCTGTTACCTCTTGCATTTAGCAACTGAAAATTGGCAGCTATTTACTAATAAATGTGGAGGAATGCATTGTTGATATTTACTGTTATCTTGAAAAGACTTCTAAAAGGAAGAGAAAATATTTGGAATATGTATGTACGTGCTGGTTATCTTTAGAGATAAGTTTATTTAGAATCCTCGACCAATGGAACTACTTGCATTTAAGAATTAGCAACTGCACTTTCAGATATTAATTAGTTACTATTTAAAGTTAATTCATTGTGAAAAATACATTTTCCTCTTATGTATTTTTATCATTAAAAAATTCTCTTGATTTTTGACTATCGTAGGTTGGCGATGTTCTCTAGGTTTCTTGTTAACTGGCAGTTCTGTGATATTGTTTGGGCCATTCCCCTCATGTTCACCAAGGAAGTCTGAGATTTTTATGTGATATATTGCAGAACTTTATCATTTTTATTGTAAATGTTTTTGGGGTGGGGGGTGCTAATGAGGTTGATAGTTTTATATGTTGTCTGTTATAATTTTGCTTGCAATGTAATGTGATACAAATGTTACTCAGAAATTTGATCAAAAAGTACAGACTTGTTAGTTCCAGCTGTCATGAGCTGTATATCTTCAACTATTACTTTTTCATTTGCTTTGGTGGCTCAGTACTTTTTAATATTAATTAATGTAATTTGTTTTTATCTTTGCCTTCATAATGCTGGTTGCATGCATCTGTATTTGTCTATTTTGATCAGAGGAATTTGGGGTGACATTTGACTTGTGTGATATGTATATTAATTTAAATTGCATAATTATTAGTGTAAAACAATAATAATTAAACAATTTTAGAAATTTAAAAAATATATTTTCTGTCCTTATGTTAAAAATCTTTTGACAGATTCAGAAAAAATGGCTCAGTTTGCTATGGAAGAAAGGCATGGCAGGGAGGAAAATATGAGGCTTCAGCGAAAACTGCAGATGGAAGTAGAACGACGTGAAGCTCTGTGCCGACACCTGTCAGAAAGTGAATCTAGTCTTGAAATGGATGAAGAAAGGTAGATATTCCTTACAAATCATACTTTCTCTAACCCCCTCCCCCCCTTTTTTTTTTAATTTGCAGTATTTGAAAAATGCAAAGTATCATTACGGGGCATTAAAATATGAAAAATAAATCCTTATTTTAAATTGGTAAACATATCTGTATAAGTATATTCAGTGTTCTTGTGGTAATGCCTAGATATACATATAAATTTATCAGGTTTGACCTTTGAATTTACTCTTCACAGTTCTGTATGTAAATGGTGTGCTGAAGGTAGATAAATTTGTTTTATCCTATGAATTCAGAAGATATGTTTCTTCATTGATAATGAAAATGATAATTTGAAGCATTCTGTTTTATTTTCTGGAATAGTTGTATTCGCAACTAGTAATATCGATTCTGATGAAATTTAACAGTGGAATAGAAAGAATCTAAAATATAGGCCTATTTTTGCATCAGAATCTTGTAGTTTTTCTGTGACTATAGGGGGTAAAAGCAAGTGTCATATGTAGATGAATGCTTTTCTTTATGTAATTACTTGGAATAGAAATTTAAAATGTATAATAATCGTACTAGTGTAATGATCATGTGAATAATAAAAAACTGTCGAAATATATCTGAATCAGCATAATAATCGGCCATTATTTCTTTGCGTTTAAAATTACAACAAATTGTTTAATTTTTGCAAATGATGTTGCTTATAAATTAATAAACTGTTAATTTAAAATTATTATTTAAAAAATTTGTATATGGACATAGGTGGTGCCTAACCAGGAAAGTGGTTAATTATGCTGACTGCCGTAAAATGGTCTTGGGTTCAAATCCCAGGGAAGGTATAGATGTTTGTAACCATATACTGTCTGTGTGGCAAGGGGGTACTCAAAATACATGACGAGATAAAAGTTTTCTCAAGACCTTGGTGGTAGGGAAAGATGGGTGTGAGCTCCTGGGGTATCCTTTGAAACTGGTGTAAAACTGCACAAATAGTATGGTGGGACTATACCTGTAAAACCAATGTTGAAATTCTGGTTCCTGCCCAGTTAATGCTTATATGCATAGGTTACTTGCAGTTAATTTGAGTCCAGTTGATTAGATTTAAGTATTTTTATTTTTAATCTTTTGTCTGATGAAATTCCATCTTGTGACTTCATGTGCAAATTGACTTGATTTTACCAACTCGTAAAGAGTGCAATTAAGTTCGTAAAAACATGAAGTTTGTAAATTTGAAGTTTTGTATGTACATGAATTCAGATTTCATTTTCCATGATGTGTTTCCTTTTCTTACACGGAATATGGAATTGGGTCATGTTAAATTTGTTAGATGAAAATAACTATGTTAGTAAAAAATTATGAATGTCGTAGGAAATCCTGACAATAAATCAGTAAATAAAAAGAGTATTTTATGATGTTGAAGGGAATGGGTGTAAAGTCTATGTGCATGTGAAAATTTAAATCTAGTAATAAGAGACAAAAGGATAAAATTAATACCTACTCTGACGATAGATAATGCAATTTAAACTATTAACGGGTAGGAAGTTAGTTCTACACTTTGAATTCTAGTATGTGTGCTGTTGCTGTTTACAGATACATAAATGTCAAAATGCTCTTTTTTTTCCCCCTCAGGTGGTAAGTTCTTTACTACAACATTGTGTTAAGTTTCACATCGAATTTTAATGTACTTTTAACGTTAAAATATTTGTTGCAGGAAGTTTTAAATAATGTTTTATGATTTACTTATTTATTAAATCTAACAATATCAAGGCTTTAGAAAAAAACCTGTTCAAAGTGAGAAAAAAAAAACCATATTAGAAGACTAGATGTCCATCGAGGTTTGTATCCAAGGTTAGAGTTGTGCAAATTTCAGGTCATAAATGAAAGTCATTCGATTAAGACTGAATACAAAAATAAATAAAAATAGATTATAAAAAAATGTGAATGCTATTTCTTTTTATAGAAAAATTCATATTAAATAAATAATAACTTTAAACAAAAAAATATCAAAAATTATTTCCAACATAATTTAAACATCATCTTGAAAGATTGCTGTTGAGCTGATACTTGAGTTTTATGTCCTACAGCCCTAAGAGACATTTAGCAAGTTACTACCACATCTGAAAATTGCAAGACAATCTTAAGAAGGTTTAAAGAACCTTATTATGTTTAACTAAACTTTTTAGCAGAAAGGACTTGTGCTGCACATAAAAAATTACTTGTGGCAATAAACTATAAGCTGGCTCAACTAAATTTACCAATGTGTAAGTTTAAAGCAATCATTTATGAGAGAATGCAGAAACTGAGATGATTACTTTTAGATAGAGATGGCGAGAGTAATATGTCGAATAATGATTATTGGAGATGTTAATTCACAAATTTGTAGAACTAATTTCAAATGTTTATATGTACAACCTACTTCTCCTGCTGTAAAAGTGCAAATGATGAAAGAGAAGCTTGTGCTCAAGCAACAACTAGAGACAAGAAGTAAAGCTCCTGGTGCCATCTGTTGATAAAAAATGAAAACAAGTATGAAATAATTCCCTTAGAAGCACTGAGGATAAAGATGGATTTAATCAATTGTTAACTAGAACTAAAAGTTTTTCTATGAATGTGAAATGTTTCTACAAAATTTAATTTGCCAACAGAAGATGTTTTTTGAATAATTTTGGTTGCAGAAAATATAAAATGTGATTTTTTTTTTTTACTAATAATGTCGGGCAACAAAGGATTTTTATGTGTTTCTTTTTTCTTGATATATGCCTCATGTTCTTTAGTGAGCAAGTTTAAAGCTCTTAGTTTAAAAAATATAACTTAAAGTATATTTGCAAAGAATCATGTATACACCCCAGGAGTTGATACCTGGAGTACAGTCTTCTTAGAAGATCTGAAACTGGGATAAAGATGGATTTAATCAATTGTTAACTAGAACTAAAAGTTTTTCTATGAATGTGAAATGCTTCTACAAAATTTAATTTGCCAACAGAAGATGTTTTTTGAATAATTTTGGTTGCAGAAAATATAAAATGTGATTTTTTTTTTACTAATAATGTTGGGCAACAGAGGATTTTTATGTGTTTCTTTTTTCCTGATATATGCCTCATGTTCTTTAGTGAACAAGTTTAAAGCTCTTAGTTTAAAAAATATAACTTAAAGTATATTTGCAAAGAATTATGTATGCACCCCAGGAGTTGATATCTGGAGTGAAGTCTTATTAAAAGATCTGAAAGTTGAAATGTGTGCAGTTTTACAGCTAATCAATGGAGAGGGAAAAGTTTCAACAGAAATTTTATGATCTCTTAAAATGAATGTTTTTTGATAAATAGGAAAAAATAAGTTGCCAGTATTTATTCTCAAGTTTTATCCTACTTGGAAAGTTTTCATATTTTAATTTTAGTTCAGGTTAAAAATAAGTTATTTAGTGATTAATTCAACATATTAGAATTATTTGAAATCGGTGTCAACGTAAACATTTAATATTTAACACATTGTTCAATAAGTCCCGGGCAACCAAAAGATGGCGTTAGTAATATCAACTTTACTTTATTGTTCGAAAGAACTAACCTTCAAATGACACGTGTCTAATTTTATAGGCATTTGGACCAGAAACAGCGAAGCTACTGTGGTGAAAGTGACACTACTTGTGCATTTGGTAGACAAAATGGAGAAAAACGAATTTCGAGTGTTGATCAAACATTGCTATTTAATGGGCAAAAATACTGTGCAAACTCAGCAATGGCTTAAAAAATGTTATCCATACACAGCTCCATCGAAAACAACCATTTGCCATTGGTATGCTGATTTCAAGCACGGTCGCACAGATACAAATTATATAGCACTCTCGGGTTGGTCAAATGAAGCAGTCGCTCCGGAAAATGTGAAACAAGTGTTGAAAATCGTGATGAATGACTGCAAAGTGAAAAGTTCGTGAGATTGCTGAGATGGTAAACATATCAACTGGAAGCGCGTGTATGATTTTACATGAAAAGTTGGGAATGAAAAAAGTGTTTCCCAAATGGGTGCCGCATGTGCTCACAATGGAACAAAAGCAACAACAAGTCGATGATTCACAGAGCTGTTTGTCACTGTTTACTCGCAATAAACAGGATATTTCTTGCGTTGATATGTGACAATGGACGAAAAATGGATCCCCTATTTCACTCTGGAGTCAAAGCAGCTGAATCACATGTAGCCGGTGAAAGCCATCCGAAGCATCCAAAAACGCAGCAGTCGGCTGGCAAAGTCATGGCGTCTGTGTTTTGGGATACGCAGAGAATAATTTACATCGACTACCTTGAAAAGGGAAAAATCTATCGATAGCGCCTATTACAGTGAGTTATTGGTGCGTCTGAAGGACAAAATTGGGGAAAAAAAAGATAGCACATGAAGAAAAAAATCATCTTCAGGCAAGACAATGCCCATGCCACAAGTCAATGCAAACACTGGTTGCATTGAACAAGTTGGGCTTCACTCTGCCTCTCCACCCACTATACTCCCCAGATCCAGTCCCCAGTGACTACTGGCTGTTAGTTGATCTCAAAAAGATGCTCCAGGCGAAAAGATTTGGCTTAAATAAGGAAGTCATCGCTGCCACTGAAGCTTATTTTGTGGACAAGGACAAACGTTTAACAAGCTTAACAGGACTTAATGTTTAATGTGACTTATTGAATGATGTGTTACCTATGAATATATTAATTACAAAGTGTAAACAGCAAAAAATTCTTTCTGATATTAACCTTTAGATTTCAGACAGAAAATTAATATAAATTGGAATATTTTTTCTTTTGTGTCATCATTATTACTTTTTCTTGTTCTTAAGTTTTAAAAAACTGATAAATATTTAGTTAGTAAATTTTTTAAATTCAGTTAAAAATTTTGTTTTGCTAATAAAACCTTTTCATTTTAGTTTTAAAATAAAAATTGGCCCATCCTTAAATCATAAATAGTTTGAGAACACTGTTCTGCATCATTCACATCAATACTTTCATTACCTGTGTATTCTCTTTTGAAATAGTTTCCAAATAT